ATTTTCTCACATCTCATACTTGCGGGGGTCCTACAACAGTCAAGCAGCTTCTTTTTGAGATAAGTGGAAATGCTTACGGATGGCTCCAGGTATTTCAGACCTCAGTATAAAGACAGTCTCCCACATTCCCATTTCCACAACCAACTGGGTAAAAAGTCTTCACAGATGGAAGGATAACAGAGGAAATTTGGACTGCAGACTTCCATTTGGCCTGGACATCCAAACATCAAGCCATGTAAGGCTGTTGTTTTTTGTGCTGATTTTGTTCCATATGTTTATATGAAAACGTTCGTAATATACCAGCAGTGTTGGGGGAACTAACTAACTCGGATGTCCAAGCTTGTTCCTGGAGGGCCAATGTCCTGCAGTTTAGCTCCAACCCTAATTAACTCTTTCCTTGCCATTTCTGGAATTTTCAAGCAGTCACATATGTAAGCGGATGCATATGTGAAATAATGTGATCAAACATTAAACAGCATTTAAATCAAAAATGCCTGTTACTAAATAAAATGACGATCCAGGAAGTGGTGTAGGACTGAGCAAGCTTTGCAGGTGTTGATGGAAACTATTTACTCCGTGTTTGATCATCATTCTGATCGAACATAGCCATGAAAGTTTTGTGAAAATGCTGGTGGTGGCTGGCAACTTAAAAAAAAATCAAATAAAAAATCGCTGGCAAGGAAAGAGTTAAACACACCTGAACCAGCTAATCAAGGTGTTTGGACTCATCAGAAACTTCCAGGCCATTGGTTCTTCCAGCAGCAGGATTGGACACCCCTGAACTAACTAAATGTAGCTACAGCCGTGGCCAAAAGTTTTGAGAATGACACAAATATTAATTTTCACAAAGTCTGCTGCCTCAGTTTTTGTGATGGCAATTTGCATATACTCCAGAATGTTATGAAGAGTGATCAGATGAATTGCATTTAATTGCAAAGTCCCTCTTCGCCATGAAAATTAACCCAAAAAACATTTCCACTGCATTTCAGCCTTGCCACAAAAGGACCAGCTGACATCATGTCAGTGATTCTCTCATTAACCAGGTTAGAGTGTTGATGAGTACAAGGCTAGAGATCACTCTGTCATGCTGATTGAGTTAGAATAACAGACTGGAAGCTTTAAAGGAGGGTGGTGCTTGAAATCATTGTTCTTCCTCTGTTAACTATGGTTATCTGCAAGGAAACGTATGCAGTTATCATTGCTTTGCACAAAAAGGGATTTACAGGCAAGGATAATGCTGCTAGTACGATTGCACCTAAATCAATCATTTATCGGATCATCAAGAACATCAAGGGGAGATGTTCAATTGCTGTGAAGAAGGCTTCAGGGCACCCAAGAAAGTCCAGCAAGTGCCAGGACTGTCTCCTAAAGTTGATTCAGCTGTGGGATTGGGGCACCACCAGTGCAGAGCTTGCTCAGGAATGGCAGCAGGCAGGTGTGAGTGCATCTGCACGCACAGTGAGGCAAAGACTTTTGAAGGATCGCCTGGTGTCAAGAAGGGCAACAAAGAACCCACTTCACTCCAGGAAAAACATCAGGGACAGACTGAAATTCTCCAAAAGGTACAGGGATTGGACTGCTGAGGACTGGGGTAAAGTCATTTTCTCTGATGAATCACCTTTCTGATTGATTGGACTGCTGAGAACTGGGGTAAAGTCATTTTCTCTGATGAATCCCCTTTCTGATTGTTTGGGGCATCCGGAGTAAAGCTTGTCCGGAGAAGAAAAGGGTGAGCGCTACCATCAGTCCGGTGTCATAGCAACAGTAAAGCATCCTGAGACCATTCATTTGCGGGGTTACTTCTCAGCCAAGGGAGTGGGCTCACTCACAATTTTGCCTAAGAACACAGCCATGAATAAAGAATGGTACAAAAACATCCTCCGAGAGCAACTTCTCCCAACCATCCAAGAACAATGCCTTTTCCAGCATGATGGAGCACCTTGTCATAAGGCAAAAGTGATAACTAAGTGGCTCGGGGAACAAAACATCAAAATTTTGGGTCCATGGCCAGGAAACTCCTCAGACCTTAATCCCATTGAGAACTTGTGGTCAATCCTCAAGAGGTGGGTGGACAAACAAAAACCCACAAATTCTGACAAACTCCAAGCATTGATTATGCAAGAATGGGCTGCCATCAGTCAGGATGTGGCCCAGAAGTTGATTGACAGCATGGGCGAATTGCAGAGGTCTTGGAAAAAGAAGGGTCAACACTGCAAATACTGAGTCTTTGCATAAACTTATTGTAATTGTCAATAAAAGCCTTTGACACTTATGAAATTCTTGTAATTATACTTCAGTATACCATATTAACATCTGACAAAAAGATCTAAAAACACTGTAGCAGCAGACTTTGTGAAAATTAATATGTGTGTCATTCTCAAAACTTTTGGCCACGGCTGTACACTACTAACTTAACTAAATTTTTCCGTGTCTAGGAGCTCAGCTGTGTATCTTTTGTACCAAGCTTTCCAGAAAGTGGTGGGGTCAAGCTATACAAAACCCTACATTTATGTGTTTCTGTGACATGAATTTGAATCAGCACTCAATTGTTTCTGGAATTCTTCACCTGGCATTGTTCTTCAGGTGTCCAATCCTGTTCCTGGAGATCTACCTGCCTGCAGAGTTCAGTATCAGCCCTATCCAGTGCTTATGAAGACCTCAGTTTGTTGGTTCAAGTGTGTTTGATCAGGGTTTGAGCTGAACTTTGCAAGAAGGTAAATCTCCAGGATTGTGCACTCCTAGTATAATGATATGATACAAAAAAAATTTTGAAAAAACTTGGCAAGCTACAATTTCATAGTGGTTTCCCCCAATACTTTATGCAATTTTTTTTTTCATATATTCATTTCATAAACATTTCTTGTTCCTTTGAGGGGAAAAATTTTATCAGTTGAGGTATGAATTTACATGAGTCTGCATTAAAAAAAAAGGTATTACACCAAAACATTTTCCTTTCATGCTTTTGTTTTAAAAAGCACCACAAGAATATTAGATACTTTTTTCCCTATTAAAAATAAATGTGTGGGTGCGTTTTTATTCATTTTTATTTTATTCATGTTGTGATAAATTGTTACCCTGATACTGATATGTTGCAGTGTTCTTACGGTTATTGTCTGTCCATGTTCCAAAACGTGAAAAAAATTGTCACACATCTTCACTATTTTCAAGTTTCTCGTGATCTGCTTTGCATTTTGTCCTTTATTCATGTAGGAAAAAAAATTCTCCAGTTATATTTTCAAAATATTTTCCTAGCTGTATTTTTGTGATAAGCAACTTCAACATTTTGGCGCTGTTAATATTCCTGGCAACATGTTTCAGCTTCTTTATTACACACTTGTGACACATTTCATACACATATACACATGGGAATTTGTTACATTCAGTTTGCCCTACTGAGGCTGTATTGCATACACGTACTGTCTGGTGTTGTATTATGTTGCACAACATCCTTGTAAGTTAATCGTCTAATATAAATAAAGCGTGAAGGCCAATTGAAGGACCACCACTTCATTCCTCATGCATACATATATTACCCAGGAGATAATGACTGAGTCCCTATCGTGAAACACTAAAAGCAGGGCTGTATGTTAACTTTTTTTTCACATAGCACTGGTGCTACAGAAGTTTAAAGTTTTGTAGCACAGGCCAAAAAGTTGTAGCACAAGTATAAAACGTCTGTTATCATGTCTGAAACAAACACAAGTAATGGAGTTCATCACTTAAACAGGCACTGATGTTCCATACAGAGCACAAAAAATACAAACCATCACAAAAATTGTTTTCTTAATTTGCTAAAAATGGAAGAGTGCAGAAACATAACACCTCTTACACCTTAACAAAATATAAAATAAAAAACAATGGCAGACATTTAGGCAAAGTTAGCAAAGATAAAAATCTTTGTCATTATTTTATCTTTGTTATTAGAAAATAAGAACATTTTTCAGGTACAGTATTTAGCAGTATTTACAACATTTTATTTTTCAGGTACAGTATTTAGCAGTAGCATTCAAGAAATTGAATGAACAAATATTAAAATAAAACACTATATACATCAATTATACTTTTTTAAAGCAACTGACTGATGATAAGT